TACATGATATTAGATCATGATTAGAACAAATAAATATAAAACAAGGAAAACAAAGCTATCTCTCCTGTCATGTTAGAACTTATATATGGAGAAGTAGAAAGTTTTATGTGAAATAATCAAGCAAACCAATTTATGATTTTTTTTTTTTTTTTTTTTTTACCAGAGATTGAACTTAGGACCTTGTACTTGCCAGGCAGGTGCTTGGGCTACTGAGCTATCTCCCAGGATCACAAATTTGTAATTCTAAACACCAGAAAAATCATTGGGTAGAACAATTCTAGGAGGAATCTTTGTGTTTTTGAAATATCCAGAGAGCTTTCCTTAGCTGAAATTTGCAAGTAGAACTGGAATTAACAAGAGTTAACAACGTGTAGAAGAAGTGGATTTTCTTTAAGTCAATGAAGAAGCAAAATAACTGCGGCACATCCTGGGTCACCTGGCGTGAAGAAGCATGTGGTGGCTGGAGGTAGGTGCAGGGCACAGGCTTGGAGTATCTGCAGCCCTGGAACAGCAAACGGTCACTGCAGCCATATTTCAGAGAATAGCCTGAGGGAACAGGGCCTCAGCCAAGACTCCCCAGAGCTAACGTGGTCATCCTAGGCTACAGGTTGGGAGGCTGGAAGGGACATCCAAGCCATGCATAGGAGGGGGCTTTGGTAGCACTCTGGTGTGGGGGATGTGCAAAGGGTCAGCTTGTGGCACCCAGCTGAACTGAGTCATGGGTGGTGCTGGGCATGGAGGGCTGCCCAGGGTTTGTTGACAGCAGCATAAGAGGAGATCTGGAAGGAAAGATGGGGTGCTCCTTGCTCCTCCTGGAGAAGCCTGTCAAGTTGGATTTCCTGATATGAACTCAGCTGTGTTCATTCTCAGGGGAGCTCGGGTCCTTGCCATCACTGAGGATGGCTGTGGTCTTTTGAAGGGGAAGTTCTGGTTCTTGAGTGTCGCTTATTGGCTCCAGTATAGTTCCTTCAGTCTGCTGGCACAGATCCTTCATCCCTCTGGGGCAGCTTTTCTAGCTTCTACCAATGACCTTTGGGCCTTCCCAGTGCAGGTCCTTGAAAAAGGCCTGCATGAGATATTGTCATGGGCTCTAGGTCTCCAGCTGGACTCAAGCAGAGCATCATGGGGGAATCCAGCCCTCAGCTGGAGTCTTGGGGTCTAAAGTGTGTGGAAACATTTGTTTCACTCTTTTGCTTTTGACTTCTTGGGTGACTATTACAAAATAATCCTATAAATTATGCATCCCATCTTAAATCTATTCTCTTGTGATTCCTGACTCTAACTGTTGGACAGGTGGGAGGGCAACAAGAAAGAAAGCGGAATCCAGGCATGCATTTGGGCTTCTGACTTAAATTGCTAGGGGTCCAGCAGCCTGCTGAATGAGGGGCGGAGAGAGACACAGTCGGAGAGTGCAGATGACGCCTGGGGGCCAGCAGCATGCTATCCTGTGCCCCTGAGAGCTTAGAGCTGCCCGGTGCTTACGGCTCCTTTCCTGTGCCCGGCGCTCTGACAGAGACAGAGACCTCTGTGTGTGTGTCTCTCTCTCCAGGCATGGGCATGCTCTCTCCATCCTGGCTTTAGCTACCAGCCACTTTCTTATGTTCTTTGATTTTTGTTGAAACACATGGCAAATGGCATCCTGCAGTGCTGATGAAGGATCCACGTTCAATCCTTTAAGGGCCTTTATATTTTTCACTCATTTTTAAAAATGAAGAAATCTATTTCCTTACTGTCCCTAGATAAAGCAAGAATGTTTCTCAGAAGAACTGTTTGACATATTTTTAGCTCATGCATAAATATTAAGAAGATAGTATGTAATCAAATATCTTTCAATGTACTTTGATTGGAATTTAAGTTTCTTAAATATAAGAATTATATTTAACATATTGAATATGGTCCTAATACCTCTATTATACCTGCTATTTTTCGCTTTTGTCTTTTTCAGTTCTCTCTTTGTCTCTCTGTCTCTGTCTCTGTCTCTTTCTTTCTCTGTCTCTCTCTCACTGTCTCTCTCTGTATCTGTTTCTCTGTGTCTGTCTCTATCTCTGTCTGTCTCTCTCTGTTTCTATCTCTCTCTCTGTCTCGGTCTCTATCTCTGTCTCTCTCTCAGTCTCTTTCTGTTTTTCTCTGTCTCTCTGTCTCGCTGTTTCTCTCTGTGTCTCTCTCTGTCAGTCTCTGTCTCTCTCTGTCTCTCTGTCTGTCTGTCTGTCCGTGTCTCTCTCTCTCTCTCTCTCTCTCTCTCTCTCTCTCTCTCTCT